GGAAATTCTGGGATTTTGGGGTTTTTCCATGGAAAATTCCAGGATTATTGGGGTTTTTCATGGAAAATTTGGGGTTTTTGTGGGATTTTAGGGCCATTCCCACCCCAAAAATTCCAGAATTTGGGGTTTTTCCATGGAAAATTCCGGGATTTTGGGGTTTTTCCATGGAAAATTCCAGGATTATTGGGGTTTTTCATGGAAAATTTGGGGTTTTTGTGGGATTTTAGGCCAGTTCTGACCCCAAAAATTCCAGGATTTGGGGGTTTTTCCATGGGAAATTCTGGAATTTTTGGGTTTTTTCCATGGAAAATTTGGGGTTTTGTGGGATTTTAGGGCAGTTCCCACCCCAAAAATTCCGGGATTTGGGGTTTTTCCATGGAAAATTCAGGGTTTTTGTGGGATTTGAGGGCAGTTCTGACCCCAAAAATTTGGGATTTTGGGGGTTTTCATGGAAAATTTGGGGGTTTTGGGGGATTTTAGAGGGTCTTGTGGGATTTTAGGAAGGTTCTGATCCCAAAATTCCGGGATTTTGGGATTTTTTGGGGTTGATCCCCGGATTTTGATGGTTTTTTTGTGGCTGATTCCCAGATTTTGGGGTTTTTTGGGATTTTTGGGTATTTTTTGGGGTTTTTTTGGGGGTTTTTGGGGTGTTTTTGTGTCGATTCCCATATTTTCTGTCTGATTCCCGTATTTTGATGTATTTTTGGGATTTTTTGGGTGGTTTTTTTGGATTTTTTGGGGTTTTTTGTGTCGATTCCCGTATTTTCTGTCCGATTCCCATATTTTGATGTATTTTTGCGATATTTTGGGATTTTTGGGGGATTTTTTGGGGGCTTTTTTGCGTCGATTCCCGTATTTTCTGTCTCATTCCCATATTTTGGGATTTTTTGGGGTTTTTTTTTTATTTTTTTGGGGTTTTTTTGGGTTGATTCTCATGTTTTCTGTCTCATTCCCATATTTGGGATATTTTTTTGGATTTTTTGGAATTTTTTGGGATTTGTTTGCTTGCAGCTCCGGAAGGGAAGCGCTCCTCGGGGCTCACGGCCGTGTGGGTGGCACGGAACCGATTTGCGGTGCTCGACCGGATGCACTCGGTGAGAAACCCGGAATTCCGGAATTTTGGGGAATTATTTGGGAATTTGGGATTTGGGAATTTGGGATTTGGAAATTCAGGAATTTGGGAATTTTGGGAATTATTTGGGAATTATTTGGGAATTTGGGTATTCAGGGAATTCGGGAATTGAGGGAATTCAGGGAATTTGGGAATTCAGGAATTGGGGGAATTCGGGAAGTTTGGGATTTGGGGAATTTGGGAATTTGGGGATTGGGAATTTGGGAATTTGAGAAATCTGGGAATTTGGGATTTTGGGAATCTGGGAATTCAGGATAATGGGGCCCGGGGATTGGGGAAATTGGGAATTGGGAATTCGGGAATTCAGGAATTGGGGGAATTTGGGGAAATTTGGGAATTCAGGATAATGGGGCCAGGGAATTCGGGAATTTGGGAATTTGGGAATTGAGAAATTGGGGAATTTGGGAATCAGAGATTTTGGGAATTGGAGAATTGGGGAATTGGGAAATCTGGGAATTTGGGGGATTCGGGGAATTTGGGAATTTGAGAATTGGGGAATTGGTGATAATGGGGACGGGGAATTTGGGGAATTGGGGAATTTGGGAATCGGGGAGTTTGAGATTTTGGGAATTGGGTAATTCAAGATAATGGGGCCGGGGAATTGGGGAATTTGGGATAATGGAACTCAAAAAAAATCTCAAAAAAATCTCAAAAAAATTTCAAAAAAATCTCAAAAAAATCCACTAAAAATCTCAAAAAAATTCCCAAAAAATGCTGGAATTTCGGGAATTTCTCCCAGATCCTGATCAAGAACCTGAAGAACGAGATCACCAAGAAGGTTCAGGTTCCCAACTGTGAGGAGATTTTCTACGCCGGCACCGGGAATCTCCTCCTGCGCGACTCCGACTCCGTCACGCTCTTCGACGTCCAGCAGAAACGGTGGGGATTTGGGGAATTTTTTGGGAATTTTTGGGGAATTTTTTGGGAATTTTTTGGGAATTTATAGGGGATTTTTTGGGAATTTTTGGGGAATTTTTTGGGAATTTATAGGGGATTTTTTGGGATTTTTTGGGGAATTTTTTGGGAATTTTTTGGGGAATTTTTAGGGATTTTTTTAGAATTTATGGAGAATTTTCGAGGATTTTGTCAGGAATTTTAGAGGAATTTTAGGGAAACGTTCGGAAATTTCAGGGATTTTTTTAGGAATTTTTCAGGAATTTTAGCGAAACATTAGGGAATTTTTAGGGAATATTTTTGGAATTTTTAGGGAATATTTTGGGAATTTTTAGGGGATTTTTTTGGAATTTTTCTGGGATTCCTTGGGGAATTTTCGGGAAAAGTTCAGGAATATTTCAGGAAGTCATTCCCAAATCCTAAAATTTGTTTTTTCCTGGATTTTTTTGCAGGAGTTTGGCCTCGGTGAAGATCTCCAAGGTGAAATACGTGATCTGGTCAGCTGACATGGCCCACGTGGCTCTGCTGGCCAAACACGGTCAGTCGGGGAAAAATTCCAGGGATTTTAGGGAATTTGGGGAGAAAATCCCGGGGGTTTATGGAATTTGGGGGGGAAATCCTGGGTTTTTATGGAATTCCCAGCTCCTCCCAGCTCTGGGATCAGTCTGGAGAAGCCTTTTCCCATTTTTCC